TCTTGGCGGGAGAGACGGTGGTTTCTTCTGAGCCGCAGCCCATCGCATTTTGAGAAAGCATGCAGGTTTTGCTTCGTGGTAATGTTCTAATCTTACAGTATATTTTCATTTTTCAACCAGTTCTCCTTTTCCCCCCTCTTCTTCTTCTTCCTCTTTTTCTTTTTTTTTTTTTAATCCCTTCTTCTCTCTTTTAATTTTTTTGTTTTTTTCCCCAGTCCGGATTTGGTGAATAAAAACGAAGGAGCTTTGACTAGTCTCTCTTTCATCATGTAATGTCTTTAGCTCATTAAACAAGTAAAAACGGCTGCCATGGTAGATTCAGGTTCTTCTTGTGGGCAAAGTCTGTAAAAAGTTTGTTTTGACGTATACTCCACAGAGAAAGAGGCTGGTGCCTTGGAGTCCAAAGGAAAATATCCTAAAGAGAAGTGTCTTCTGTGCGCCAGAATGAAAATTGTGTCTTTCTGTTCAAGATCAATCGCTGAGGTTACTTAAAAAAAAAAAAAATATAAAGCCACTCTGTCTCTTTGCCGCATCTACAAGTTCACACAGAGCCTGTTAGCTGGCACGGCTTAGCAAAGCAGGGGAACTTCTTGCCGTGTCGAGACGAGGCGTTCTTGGGAGATTATTTCTCTTGGACAATTCACATCATTTGTGGTCTCTGCATTGTGTCTTGATGTGGAGAAGAATACCAGTGAGAATAGCCAGGCATGTAGCTGTTGGGAGGCATATTGACTCCCTTGGCAGAAGCTGAAACGTCCCAGACCGGAGGCAGAGCCGGAGAGCGAGGGGAGAGGGCGGCGGAGCCGGGCAGAGGGTCGCTCTCGTGGGGGTTGCTGCCCTGCTTCAGCAGCTTCTTGAATTTGGAGCGCTTGTTCTGAAACCAGATCTTCACCTGCAAACCAAAACGCAGCAGATATTAAGGCTGCCGTCAGCACCCAGGGCGCGGCAGGGGAGACCCCGGGGGCCGCGGGTTTGCTCTGGAGAAGGTCTCGGGAGCCCACGCCACTCGGGTGCCGGAGCTGGGGATGGGGAGAGGGGAAGGAGGGGTGGCTACTGCTGCTCTCGGGCTCTGGATGCAGCTGGAGAGAACAGGAGAGGCAGAGCGGAGCTGGAAAGCGGGAGGGACGCAGGTTTTAACCCGGAACGTTATTTTCCCTGGGCAGGCCAGGCTGATCGAGCTGAAGCAGAGTACGTGCTCTGAGCCCTCCTGCTTTAGCGCCTCAGTCAGAATTTTGGAGGTCACTCGACCATTTGGGCAAACTGTTGTCAAACACGGGCAATCATATGAGTTTGTGCCAGGAGACAGGAGCCAATGGACAAAGGGCATCTTACAAAGAAATCGCGTATCCGAAAACGTGCACGACCAAGCGGTCCTTGCTGATGTGACGAGGGAGGAGGCACAATGGAACCGGGATTGTGGCTTTATTTTAGAAGTTGTTTTTAAAGAAAGGAAAATTCCCTTTTCTCGGCGAGTAATTGGCTCTCAAGATTGCTTCGGGTCTCATCCTGCTCCTAATCCAGCAGAACTCCCCGAGGGGGGAGCCTGCACTCGATGAGGTGTGCAAGGATCAGGCCCACTCTGGCAGATCAGAGCTATTACAGAATTTATATATACCTAAGAGATATAGACACACATATTTCTTTAAATCAAACAAAGAAAACGACTCCTGCATGTGTATTGGACGTTGCAAACTTGCAGATGTAATGTTAGGGCATAAGCAGGGGTGCTCGTCTAGCTGCATGCTCAGGATCGGGCCCCTACATCTATATAGGCGTGCGAGAGAGAAAGTGAGACAGCAGCGGAGAGACAGCGTACATGCTAAGGATACTGAAATCCCATTTGTAAAACCGTCAGGTCTATTCCCATGATTAATGTTTGCCGAGTATTTTAAAATCGCTGGCTGGAAGCGACCAATATCAATGACAATGATAAAATCCTGAAGTTATTTGTTAAGCTCATAAATTCACATGATTACATTTTACCCGAATTGATCCCATCTATCCATGCACTTCTCCGCAAGCCCCAGCCTGGGAAGCCTGTAATGCCTCATGTGTCTTTCAAGCTTAAATTAGCAGAATGGCACAGCTACTCCAACCACACTTAACTATGGCTTAACCTGCTATAATTTTGTACACGGCTGTCTTTGATCTTCAGATCTATTATCACCTTTCCTACATTTTGCCCAAGGGTAACCACTGCATTTGCGTTAGTCATCCAGGGTGAATTAACTATTGATTTTACAGGTATTTCCTAACATGCTCCTGCTTCCTCTCTACCTATAGCTTGCTGCGAGGCAGCTTTGCTTTGCTCTTAGCTCTACCTCAGGCCCAGCGATTCCTTGCCTTTGTTTTCTCCTCCTTTTCACGGCCGGGCAATTGCATCTCGGTGCTGGAATTACCCGAAAATACAGGCAATTTTAAAATGTTGCGTGTGGCACCAGAAGGGAGCGTTTGCTCGCCGGGCGGCTGAGGGAAGGGCGCATTCAGCTCCTTCTGCGGCCAGACCGGTCTCTCTGTCGTGCACTAGATAAGTCCTGTCACATATAGATGGGGGACCGTGTGCGTTACCTTTTCTACCGTTCCCGTACAGAGGCCAAAACGTCTAGGGAGCATCGCGCTTTGCTTGGCCTTTATTGCTCGCGTAGGATTTCAGTGATTTGGGATTCCCAGTAATTACCTGTGTCTGGGTAAGTCCTAATGAAGCTGCCAGTTCAGCTCTCTCTGGAAGTGCCAGGTACTGAGTCTGCTGAAAGCGATGATTTAAAGCCTGGAGTTGTAGACTAGAGTAAATGGTTCGAGGCTTCCGAATCTTTTTCCCTTTTCCATTGAATCTGATTTCACCGTTTTCAATCACTGTGGTTTTTTGCTGATCTGCAAGCAAAACACCACAGCTGAAACATCACCCTCCTTAGCAATTTAGCGCGGGCATTTGGGGCTGCCACGGCTCCTAAAAACCCAGCAGCCTCCCCCGGCGCCGGTTCAACACCACCGCGTACACACAGGCTCCGGGTCTGTAGGGGCACACGGCGCGACGCACGCTGCTGCTTGGCAGCTACCGGGAGAAAAAAAAGAAAAAAAAAAAAAAGAAAGAAAGAAAAAAAAACCAGCAACAGTCCGGGAATAGTGGGCAGGCTGCCTTTCCCCCGGGAGGTGTGGGGGGGAATTATATTAAAAAAAATATTCAAATAAAGTGCAG